GTCTCTTGTCAGCTCTCTGAGGATTGCAGCTGGGTGGGGCTGGCCTCAGGCACAGGAGCACCCAATTGTTTCAGGCTTTGGAAGGTGGGGCAAACCCCCTATGTGGGTCTTTGAGAAGCACAAGTCTTCTGCAGCTGACAGGCCCCGCCGCCCACAGGTCCACACACACAGTCAACACAGTCCTGCCCCGAGTGCGTGCCCCGACCTCCTGAAGTGGAGCCAGTCTCTCCAGGGCTGGAGCCCCACACTCTCCACCACCGCCCCACACTTTCCACCCGCTCCTTGTGCATGCCCTGCCCCACTGAAGTTGGCTCAGTTGTCAGGCTGCAGAGAATCCAGTGACCAATCTATGCAGGCCCACAAGTTGTCTGAGGGCTTGTTGTTGGGTCGGGCCAGTCTCTAGGGTGGGCTGTCTGCCCTGGCTGAGCTGGATTAAATCGGTTCTCTAGCGGGTGGGGCAGACCCTGGGCTACAGGCCCCAGGGAGAACTCCAATGGCATCTGTGTCAGCACACCCACACCAGGCCACAACAATGGCCGCCGCTAATGTCCCAGTCCCTGGAGAGGTCTCACCTCTCACCGAGATGCACTCAGGGCCTATCAGGTGAGTCTCTTTTCACCAAGGCACTATGCATCTTTCTTTCTGGTGATTTTACGATGCTTTCTGAAACGGGTGAGTTTGCGCATGGGCCCTTTAAGAGCCAGTTTTAATTTCTTTGTGAACCAGGTTTTCTGGGGGCACTCTGCAATGCTTTAGTAGCAGGCAAAGTCAGATATTATGCCACTGGTCTCGATTGTGCTGGGTCCACAAAATGCCCACAGCGGGGGCGCTCCCTGGCTCAGGGCCCCGCGCCTCCAGGGAGGGCTGCGTACCTTTGGGCTGCTCCCGGTGGCTGTGAAGCTGGCGGCTTGTGAAGGCAGCGTTTTTCGTCTCCAGAAGGGAGTTTCTGCCTCTTCCACCTCAATTAGGATTGCCCTTTGTTGCAGGAGTTCCTCTTATCCAGTTTTCAGCTCTGTCTCAGGAGTAATTTTTCCACGAGTAGTTGTAAATTGGCTGTGTCTGTGGGAGGAGGTGAGTTCAGAGTCTGCCTACGCCGCCATCTTGACTTCTCGCTCCTCTTTCGTTTCTGATTTTAGTAATTTGAGTCTTCTCTCTTTTTTTCTTAGGCCATCCTTGAAAGTTTGTCGATTTTGTTGATATTTTCAAAGAACCAACCTTTGGTTTTACTGATTTTTCTCTGTTGTTTTTCTAGTTTATATTTTGTTTATCTCTATTTTAATCTTTATTATTTCCTTCTTTCTGCTAGCTATGAGTGTATTTTGTTCTGTTCTTAATTTCTTAAGTTGTAAATTTAGATTGTTAATTTGAGATGTTTCTTGTTTTGTTTTCTTTTTTTTTGTGAGGAAGATCAGCCCTGAGCTAACATCCATACCAGTCCTCCTCTTTTTGCTGAGAAAGACTGTCCCTGGGCTAACATCTGTACCCATCTTACTCCACTTTATATGGGATGCCTCCACAGCACGGCCTGACAAGCGGTGTGTCGGTACACGCCCAGGATCCGAACCCGGATCTCCAGCAGTGGAGCACGTGCACTTAACCGCTACACCACAGGGCCGGCCCCTGTTTCTTGTTTTTTAATGTAGGTGTTTATAGCTATAAAATTTTCCCTGAATACTGCTTTTGCTGCCTCCCATAAATTTTGGTATATTGTGTTTTTTTCCATTCATGTCTAAATATTACTAATTTCCCTTTAGATTTCTTCTTTGATCCATTGTTTGTTTAAGAGAATGTTGTTTAGTTTTCACAAATTTGTGAATTTTCCATTTTTTTTCCTTCTGTCATTGATTTCCAAAATTCATCCTGTGTGGTTGGAGAAGATATTTTGTATGATATTTCTCTTTTGAAATCTCTTGAGACTTAATTTGTGGCCTAACATATGGTCTATCCTGGAAAATGTCCAGTGTGCACTTGAGAAGAATGTGTACGCTGTTGTCATTGGGTAGAATGTTCTGTATATGTCTTTTAGATCTAATTGGTTTGTTTAAGTCCTCTGTTTCCTTAGTTATCTTCTGTTTGGTTGTTTGTCTATTATGGTGGGTGGGATATTGAAGTTTCCAACTGATATTTTAAAACTGTCTATTTCTCCCTTTAATTTTGTCAGTTTTTGCTTCATATATTTTGATGATCTGTTATTAGGTATATAACTTATAATTGTTATATCTTTTTGCTGTATTAAATCTTTAATAATATATAGTGTCCTTCTTGGTCTCTTATAACCTTTTTTTATTTGAAGTCTATTGTGTCTGATATTAGTATAGCCACCCCTGCTCTCTTTTGGTTACTATTTGCCTGAAATATCTTTATCCGTCTTTTCTCTTTCAGTCTGTTTGTGTCACTGGGTCTTGTAAGCAGCGTATAGTTAGGTCATGTTTTTTAATCCATTCTGCCAATCTCTGTCTTTTGATTGGCCAGTTAAATCCATTTATGCTTAAAGTAATTATTGATAAGGAGGGACTTAGTTCTCTCATTTTGCTATTTGTTTTCTATATACCTTACAGCTTTTTTTGTCTGTCATTTCCTGCATTAAGTCTTCTTTTGTGTTGATTTTTTGTAATGAAATATCTAAATTCTTTTCTCATTTTCTTTTGTGTAGATTTGTTAGCTATTTTCTTTGTGGTTACCATGGGGATTACATTTAACTTTTTAAAATTGTAGGATTCTAATTTGAATTTATATCAGCTTAACTTCAATCACATACAAAGACTCTACTCCTTTACAGCTCTCTCCCCACCGCTTTTGGTTGTTGATGTCACAAAATTACATCTTTATACATTTTGTGCCCAAAAACATAAACTAATAATTTCTTTTTTTTTGATGAGGAAGATTAGCCGTGAGCTAACAGCTGTGCCAATCTTCCTCTCTTTTGTATGTGGGATGCTGCCTCAGCATGGCTGACAAGTGATGTAGGTCTGCGCCTGGGATGTGAACCCGCAAACCCGGGCCACTGAAGCAGGCTTGCTGAACTTAACTACTGCGCCACAAGGCCAGCCCTACTAATAATTATTTTAAATGCATTAGTCTCTTATAATTATGTAGAAAACACAATGTAGAGTTACAAGCCAAAGTTAAAATTATACTATCTTTTATAATTGCCCATGTATTTACCTTTCTTGAGATCTTTATTTCTTCATTTGGCTTTGAGTTATTGTCTAGTGTTTTTTGTTTTACATGCAGAATTCCCTTGTGCATTTCTTGCAAGGCAGGTCTAGTGGTAACAAACTCCTTGTTGTTTCTGTGGGAATGTCTTAATTTCTCCCTCACTTTTGAAGGAAAATTTTGCCAGATATAGGATTCTTGGTTGACAATTTTTTTCTTTTAGTTATTTGAATAGATGGGTCCCTTGCCTTCTGGCCTCCAAAGCTTCTGATTACAAATCTGCTTATGATCTTATTGAGGATCACTTATATGTGATACATCGTTTCTGTCTTGATGCTTTCAAGATTCTCTTTGTCTTTAGAAAATTTGATTATATCTTGGTATGGGTCTTGCTGAGTTCATCTTGTTTGGAGTTCGTTGAGCTTGGATGTTTAGATTCATGTCTTTTGTCAAATTTGGTGTGGTCAGTTTTTTTATTATTTTAGCTATTCCAATAGGTATGTAATAGTCTCTCATTGTTTTAATTTGCAATTCCCTAATGATATATGATGTTGAGAATCTTTGCATAGGCTTATTGCCATCTGTATATCTTCATGTTCAGATCTTTTGACCCATTAAATGGCCATGACTTACAGCTATTGCCTTTTTTATTCCACCAAGTTTGTTTTTTTGTGTGTGTGTGCATGAGGAAGACTGGCCATGAGCTAACATCCATGCCCATCTTCCTCTATTTTCTATATGGGACGCCTGCCACAGCATGGCTTGATAAGCAGTGTGTAGGTCTGCACCCAGCATCCAAAACTGCGAACCCCAGGGTGCCGAAGCAGAGCATGCGAACTTAACCACTACACCACCAGGCTGGCCCCTCCACCAAGTTTTAACGTGTCTTCTGTTGCAGTGGTCACTTCTGTGGTCTCCTTTCCTGGACTCAGCCTGAAACTTTCAAGCAGCATTGCTCACTTTCTCCTCCGTGCCCATGTTGTGCTCTCTGTGTTCTTTCATCTTAGCCTCTTTGGCTCCCTATTGCTTTTGCATGTATTTAACTTTGTTTTCCTCTGCAATGCTGAACGCTTCTTGCAGGCAGGAGAGTATTTCATCCATTTTTGTATCACCTGCACCTAGCTGAATACCTGGTACCTGGTATTTTCATGTGTTGAGTGAAAGACTGATTGATTTAATACACATTGATGGGATATTTTCAGTAAATTTTTGCTTTTCTCACAAAGTCGAATGTGAATAATGGACAGCCTAGGCAGCCTGTTGTTTCCCACAAACTTAGTAAAATAATTTGAGATTGAATGGGAATATGCTATTTCAGGGACCATTGTCATTCACGGATGTGTTTGTGGACTTTACCTGGGAAGAGTGGCAGCTGCTGGACTCAGCTCAGAAGCACCTGTACAGGAGTGTGATGTTGGAGAACTATAGCAACCTGGTGTCCCTGGGTAAGTGCTGCCTTCCTGAAAGGAGTGTGCTTAATCTCCAGGCTTCCTCTTCTTGGTTGCTGAAATCTGGGGGGGCTTTTGTAAAATACTTAGTGATTTTTGACTTATATTTAGAGGTCAAGGTTTCTTAGTCTCCCTTTGGTATCAGAAAATGCTAGTTGAACGGTCTTTACTTTGCCAAAGTGTGAAAGGGCAGCTTTGTCGTGCCACCTCTAAACTGAATCTTTCCCATTCTTTAGAATCCCTGAATCCAGGCAGTTTTGGTCCAGGTTGTCTGTGATTTCCATTCACAGGGTATCAGCACACCAAACCTGCTGTCGTCCTCAGGTTGGAACAAGGTGAAGAGCTGTGGATGATGCAGGCCCAAATCCCAGGTCAGGGCCACCCAGGTGAGGGGCAGGACATTGAGATCTTGTCCTCCTTATGCAGAATTGGTGTGCGTTCTGATGTCATATGCACCTCATATTTGTACTTTTTGTCTCGTCGTAACCATTCTCTCTCAGTTAATCTTCTTCTCTCTGGCATTCTCAGTTCCCTCCTTACTTTCCCATGGTAATAGACTCGTCTCATTATGCGTTTCAGCACACATTTCCTCTTTACCTCACATGGTGTAACTTTCACACCCCTTCTACTTCGTATTTTTAAAAATATTTTTAAGTTCCTTACACTTATATTCAACAACCACGGTCCCAGCTTCCTTCCTTCTCCTTGAAACCCATTAGTAGCTTCTACCCTTCCGTGTTTCTCCATGCTAAGCACTTTAATGTCATCACTGTCCTTTCTAGGTGCATTCCTGCATCACCTGATAATACCAGTTGTCCTGCCCGAAGCCTTCCCCTTGCCCTTACTCAAGTGACACCCCATTGACCCCACTCACTCTGCGTGACAAAGTGATTATTCTCCTCATGCTTTATCGGCGTCTCTGTCTCTTCTCTCTGAGTCCAAAGGGGTCTTTTTTTATATTCTCCATTTTCCTTGTATATTATAACTTTTAAAAGACTTCCATTCTGAAGATTTGAGCTCATTTTTTCTCTATTGGTAATTGACAGCCTCATCCCTCTTTTGTTTGCCCTTTGGGTACTGAGTTTAATTGGTCCACACGGCATCTTCACTGCATGTGCCACTCCCTTGTCTCGTTTTCAGAATTGGAATTGTCTCTCCCACTGCTCCATGGCCACATCACACCTTCTTCTCACCCTTCTGATTGTTCGTTCTGCTGTGTTTCTAGTTCTTTTTCCTGGCACTGGGGAGTCAGCCTAAGTCTCCTTTATATGCAGTTCTCTTCACTAATGTTGCTATAGTCTGTTAGTATTTTGGTCCTTTAAAAAGAAGTCTTTTAAGGCCCCCATCTTCTCAGTTCCCACCCAAAACAAAGCCAATATTATCTCATGTCTCGATTGTTCTACTTGTCAGCCAAATTTATTCATTTTATTCTTTTTGTATTAGTTCATCTTGATATTACTGTCAGATATGTTTCCCTAAGCACCTTTTATTTTGGCACGAGCATGGCAGGATAAATCAACAGTTAGTCTTTGTATCATTAAGATTCTTTCATCTGTAATTTTTGATTAGTCCTAAATCTACCTATTTAAGCAGGAGTGATTTATTACACACATCAGAAAAAGTCCTGAAGTAGGGCAGCTGTAGGGTTCACTAAGTGATTGACTTAGTACATCACCAAAGGCCCATCTCTATCTACCCTACCCTTCTAAGTGTGTCAGCATTTTCCTCAGGTTGCCTTCCCTCATGGTCATCAGATGGCGATACAGTTCCAGCCCACACCTGCAGATATATCATTGGCTGGTGGAATAAGAAAGACTTTCTTCCCACATGACTCTTTTTATCAGGCAGTAAAACCTATTTCAGGAAGCCCCAGCAGACTTGCGGTGTTCAGCCGGCTAGATTTTATCACATACCCGTATCTGAAGAACATTATGGCAAGGGAAATGAGACCATAACTGTTGGCTCAAATAACTCGTGCTTCATCTTCTGGGGGTTGGGGTTGGGGCAGGGGTGAAGATGGGTCTCCATTTCCCTGTCTGAAGCTCATGGCCTTAAGGATGGGAGTGGGAAAAAAATCAGGATTTTTCCAGCTGGGAAAAGGGCAGAAGAACTGTTGGGTAGGTAGCACTATCCACCTTCACCTGCCTCTTTGGCTAGGCAGCATCCAGTCACAGCCTTCTTCAAAAAGATCCCACCACTCTGTTTTCATTCTTGTACTGCATTAATGCCAGTCTAAGATCTTTGTTCCCACTCAGACCTGGTGGTAGTTCTTTATGGCCTGGTAACCTATAATTAAAGGTAAGTTATCCACTTACAACCAACCAGACAAATACAGAGTAGTAGAGGGAAGTGCAGGGTAGGTACAACAGGAATCCCCATTTGGGGAAAGCACCACGTAGAAGTCACTGGTTTGCAGCACCCTGAGACCCTGGTTGGGCAGGCTGTACCAGGACCTCCTGCTGTGGCAGTGGCCTAGTGAGCCCTTGTTCTGCTCTCAGTATAATTTCATTTTCCATTGTCTTCTGTGGCTAAACCCTAGATAGTCATTGGGGAGAATGCTTTTCTGTAGCTTCAGAATCTCAATTCTGTTGGTGCAAATTGAGTTCCCAGGGATTGCCTTCAGACCATAGCCAGTAATCATGTTTCATGTAGTCTTTAATCATCTTTAAGTAAGTTTTAAACTTTAACAGTTTCTGTCTTCTACTCACTGGCTTTGGTATTTTTTACTGATTGCTTGAATTCTTTGAACTTTCCTTTGAGATAACAACTATGATCTTATTTCCTGCCGTTATTGTTGCAAAAAGAATACTCAACAGAAAATGCACTAGATTTCCTGGGAAATCAAATGAAGGAAGTCTGAGAGGTAGGAACCAACTGAAAATGAGGATGGTATGGTAGCAGCAACAGAAGGATTGGAAGGGTGAAGTACAGGAATTTATGGTTAGGACAGATTCAGTGTCCACGAACTCTGAAAGTCTACTGGGACAATACTGACAGCCAAACACATGAGCAAATCTGATTCTAGGGCAAAGATTAATTACTCACTGGCCTGTTTTCTTCTTGATGAACACATTTCTGATTTTAGGACTATGTAATAGCCAGTAACACTCCCTCCCATGCCATTGTGATAGTCAGAAGTGCCCATATCCATTTCTCAGTGCATCCAGGGGGAGGTACTGCCCCAGTTGGGAATTGACATTTGCGAAAATAAAATTTGGAAATTGTGTACAAAATGAATAAGAGGGATCAGATTTAAATGAAGTAGGGAAACCTGGAATGAGGTATTAAGATCCTCTGATCTGCTGTCTCCAAACTTGACTTGCTGCTGTGTTCTCTTAGTACCCGTTTCTGTTCACTGCCTTGGTCAGCATATTACTTTGGGACATCCACATCAGCTCTACACATTCCCTCTTGAATTCAACCTCTAGATATTTGTCATTGTGCCTGAGGACTTAGTCCTGGGTCTTGTTCTCTTTCTACTTCATATCTTTGGCTTTAGGGGTTTTATTATGTTTAAACAGTATTCTGTCCACCCTGCCCCCTCTTTGTTTTCCATTCCCCTCAGAGAAAACCACTTTCATCTCTTTTAGCTCTTTGTTATGGCATTTACCTCCCTGTTTCTAAATAAGCAGCTTCTTCTACTGCACCTTGATTCCCCACCCCCCAATGATAATTACCCAGTATAGAAGGGTGAGAATTTAGTTCTCTTTTACCCTCCTCCCCCCATACTCCCCAAGATATACATACTGTCTCTTCCCATACGCCCATCATCTTAATAAATTTCTTTCATACTTTTGGTTAGATCAGTCTTCAGTGTTTACATCTTTATGACTGTAATTTCCATTCCCAGGTAAATTATGCAAGTATACAATGGTTAATTTTTGTTCATAAATCATTTTTTTCTCTTGTTATTTGCCCTCCCAGTTTTCTCTGTTCATGTCATTAATATATTTATCGTTAATTTAACCCCAGACTCTTCTTCACATGTCTAAATATTCTTTTGGTACATTCAGCCAAATGAGTAATTTTTTCAATTTCATCTTCCTTGCCTTTGACTTGCTCCAGTGTAACCTAGTTTTTCTCAAGACCTGGCTATACAATTTTTATCCTGGAATCTCCTTTCAGATTTTATTTATTTTATTTTTTAAAATTAAGAGAATTTTTTCACTTCTTTTCTTTTCTTTTCTTTCTTTTTTTTTTTTTTGAGGAAGATTGGCCCTAAGCTAACATCTGTTACCAATCTTCCTCTTTTTTTCCTTTTTTCTCCCCAAAGCCCCAGTACATAGCTGTATATCCTAGTTGTAGGTCCTTCTAGTTCTTCTATGTGGGATTTCTAGCATGGCTTGGTGAGTGGTGAGTAGGTCCGTGCCTACGATCCGAACTGGTGAACCCTGGGCTGCCGAAGTGGAACGTGTGAACTTAGCTGCTATGCCACCGGGCCAGCCCCCAGATTTTATTTTTTATACTTATTCTGTGTCATCTTTTTCCTTTGTTCTTTTGGAGCACCTCTTCCATTAGCTTCCTGTGAAAGGGTGCATGTGATACACATTTTGAAACCTTGCCTCTGTTTATACTTTACTGTTTATACTTTACTCCTGAATGCTGTTTTCTGTGCCATTCTAAATTTTGATCCATTATATGAAACTTTGTTTTTTTCATGTCTCTGGAAGCTTTTACTAGGTGCTTCTTGTCCTTAGTGTTCTAAAGCATCATGATGATGTTTCTTGTAAGTTTATTTTTATCTGTTTGTCTGGGTATTCAGTGGAATTTTATCCCCAAGAGGACTGTAAACTAATTTGCAACGTTTTCTGCTGTTTCTCCTGAGCTTGGCACAGTGTTTGGCACATAGTAGGTATTCAACAATTATTTGTTGAATGAGTTCAATGCTGAGATCCCTTCCAACCTCTTTATATGTTGCTCATTTTTCCTTGTACCTATTTTGCTTTCTTTACCCATTAAACAAAAATTCTAAACTCAAAACCATCTATATTCATTTTCAGTGTCCTATGCCTATCTTCATTTTTTTAGTTTTGCTTTGTTTTCCCTAGTGCCCAGGAGTGTGGGTACATTTACTCTTGAGATTTATTTTATTTAGATCTTATATCTAAAAATAAACAGCCTCATAACATGGCATTTTTAAGGCAATTTTATGCCATACCAGGATCATTTTATTATTTATAACATACGATTATTTTCATTTCTAGACAAAGTCTGGGAAATTGATCATCATATGGAAGGGCATCAAGAAAATGAAGGCAAGCTGGGAAGGATGTCAGAAGGCTATGAATGTACTGCATTTGGAAAACTATGTCTTGTTAGTTCAAATTATGTTTCTTCAAGACAAAAGCTTCTTAAGTGTGGTACACGTGGAAAGAGTGTGAAATATAATATAGATTTCGATACTAATTATGCTGAAAAGAATCCTAATGAGTTCCATCCACATAGGGAATCATTCCTTCATGCTAAACATGAGCAAACTATTATTGGAATAAAATACTGTGCAAGTAATGAATCTGGGAAAATTGTCAATAAGAAGTCACAACTCATATGCCAACAAATGTATATGGCAGGAAAACCCTTTGAATGCAGTTACTGTGGGAAGGCCTTCAGCAGCAAGTCATACCTTGTGATGCATCTGCGAACTCATGCAGAAGAGAAACCCTACAAATGTCATGGATGTGGGAAAGATTTCAGCAGCAAATCCTACCTCATTGTACATCAGAGAATTCATACAGGAGAGAAACTACATGAATGCAGTGAATGTGGGAAAACTTTCAGTTTCAAGTCACAACTTGTTATACATCAGAGAATTCACACAGGGGAGAATCCCTATGAATGTTCTGAATGTGGAAAAGTCTTCAGTAGGAAAGACCAGCTTGTTTCACACCAGAGAACTCATTCAGGACAGAAACCGTATGGGTGTAATGAATGTGGGAAAGCTTTTGGTTTGAAATCACAGCTCATTATACATCAAAGAATTCATACAGGAGAGAAACCCTATGAATGCAGTGAATGTCAGAAAGCCTTTAATACAAAGTCAAATCTTATGGTACATCAGAGAACCCATACAGGGGAGAAACCTTATGGCTGTAGTGAATGTGGTAAATCCTTTACTTTCAAGTCACAGCTCATTGTACATCAGGGGCTTCACACAGGAATAAAGCCTTATGGGTGCATTCAATGTGGGAAAGCCTTCAGTCTGAAGTCACAGCTTATTGTACATCAGAGAAGTCACACAGGAATGAAACCTTATGTATGCAATGAATGTGGCAAAGCCTTCAGGAGCAAGTCATACCTCATGATCCATATGAGGACTCATACAGGAGAGAAACTCCATGAATGCAACGAATGTGGGAAAGCCTTCAGTTTTAATTCACAACTCATTATACATCAGAGGATTCACACAGGAGAGAGCCCATATGAATGCCATGAATGTGGGAAAGCCTTCAGTCGGAAATATCAGCTCATTTCACACCAGAGAACTCATGCAGGGGAGAAACCCTATGGATGCCTTGACTGTGGAAAAACTTTTGGTTTGAAGTCACAGCTTATTATACATCATAGAACTCATACAGGAGAGAAACCCTTTGAATGCAGTGAATGTAGCAAAGCTTTCAATACAAAGTCAAACCTTATGGTACATCAGAGAACTCATACAGGGGAGAAACCTTATGGGTGTAGTGAATGTGGGAAAGCCTTTACCTTCAAGTCACAGCTCATTGTACATCAAGGAGCACACACTGGTGTAAAACCCTATGGATGTAATCAGTGTGGAAAAGCTTTTAGTTTGAAGTCACAGCTCATTGTACATCAGAGAAGCCACACAGGGGTGAAACCCTATGCATGCAGTGAATGTGAGAAAGCTTTCAGGAGTAAGTCGTACCTCATTATACATATGAGAACTCATACAGGAGAGAAGCCACATGAATGCAATGAATGTGGGAAATCCTTCAGTTTCAATTCACAACTCATTGTACATCAGAGAATTCACACAGGAGAAAATCCCTATGACTGCAGTGAATGTGGGAAAGCCTTTAATAGGAAAGATCAGCTCATTTCACATGAGAGAACTCATGCAGGGGAAAAACCTTATGGCTGCAGTGAATGTGGGAAAGCCTTTAGTAGCAAGTCATACCTCATTATACACATGAGAACTCATTCAGGAGAGAAACCATATGAATGCAACAAATGTGGGAAAACCTTCATTTGGAAGTCACTACTCATTGTACATGAGCGAACTCATGCAGGGGAAAACCCTTATAAATGTAGTCAATGTGAGAAGTCCTTCAGTGGAAAATTAAGGCTCATTGTACATCAGAGAATGCACACAAGAGAGAAACCCTATGAATGCAGTGAATGTGAAAAAGCCTTCATTAGGAAATCTCAGCTCATTGTACATCAGAGAACTCATTCAGGGGAGAAACCCTATGGGTGTAATGAATGTGGAAAAAGCTTCTCTCAGAAATCAATTCTCAGTGCACATCAGAGGACTCACACAGGAGAGAAACCCTGTAAATGCACTGAATGTGGGAAAGCCTTTTGTTGGAAGTCTCAGCTCATTATGCACCAGAGAACTCATGCAGATGAGAGACATATTGATGAATTAAATGTAAGAAACTTTCTCTCCAAAGTCCATTCACAGGAAATACCAGCTAATTCACATAGAAGAGAAGCTCTATAAACGCAATCATCTCTTACGCCAGAAACCTCATACTTAAAGGAGCCAGCCTTGCGTGTGTGCAGCGTGTGGAAGAGCACCTACAGGAAGCCGTGCTTTACATGTTGAAATAGTGTTAGCGCACACAGGAGCCCTGTGAATTCATGAGCCCTATGGGAGTTGTCAGCAGCATGTCATACCTTTACTAAGTCTACACAGGTGAGGAACCATACGAATGAAGTGAATGTTAGAGAGTCATCTTCTTAAATATGATAAAAGTCACAAAGGAAATTGCATAAAGCTGATGAATATAGAACATGTTCCTTTGAATTTCATAGTTGATTAAACAGGATTCTAATGACAGAAAATATAAAACCAGTGAACGGCAGAATCACCAGAATTACAAACACTTGACGTATCAGAAGCTCATACCTTGGAGAAAGTATGCTATAAGGGAAATTCTTCATCTAGAAGTGACAAAGTTCGAGAAAAAAAATTAATATATGAATGAAGATCTTCAAATGTGTCAAATGGGGTAAAGCCTCAGTAGGAAGGTTCCCTTTGTTATAATTTTGATCAGTTTGGAAAAATAATGTCCTTTACAAATTGTTTTAAGGGAAATTATGTTCCAGATTTCCCAAACGTTTAGGAAAAGATTGGAGAAAATATTCAACTATAAATGATAGGTGTGTTCCTAATAGAATATAAAGGGTTTTTTAGTGTGTAAGTGTAATAGTCACGCGTCGCTTAATGACAGGGATATGTTCTGAGAAATGCGTTAGGCGACGACGTCGTGTGAACATGAGACAGAGTAATCACACACACCTAGGTGGTACAGCCTACTGTACACCTAGGCTTTATGGTACTAATCTTCTGGGCCCACTGTCATATGTGGTTTATCATTGACCGAAACATTATGTGGTGCATGATGGTAATCAGGATAACAATAAATACATCATGAGACCTTCAGGGATGTTTAGATGACACCTTCCTCTCTGTACTGATGAGTTTTGTATAGTTTGGCATTTTACTTGTGAATGCCACACGTGATAGATAAATTAGATAGATACAATACCATTTCCCAGGGATTTCTACTCTGCATAGCAACATTCCTCTTAACAAATACAACTTATTACTAGAATAATATGACGTTAAAAATAAATTTCACTACTACAAACCTTTTCTATTATTTTGTACCCTTTGTAAGTAGGCCTGGCAGGTACATCTTTAGTTATATACATCAATACAGTGCACATTTCATCTGACCTCACTGGTAAGAACATCCTGAGTTCCTTTAAGAGAAATAATCTTTCACCATGTATGCAGTCAAGTAGACTGAGATACTACAGACTTTAATTTCTTTTTTTTTTTGTGAGGAAGATTAGCTCTGAGCTAACATCTGTTGCCAATCCTCCCCTTTTTGCTGAGGAAGACTGGCCCTAGCCTAACATCCGTTCCCATCTTCCTCCCCTTTTTTCATGATACGGGATGCTGCCACAGCATGGCTTGACAAGCGGTGCATCAGTCCATGCCTGGGATCTGAACCAGCGAACCCTGGACTGCTGAAGCAGAGTGCAAACTTAACTGCTATGCCACCAGACTGGCCTCCAGACTTTAAGTTTTCAGTGGACTCTTTAAGTACTGAAAAGCAAAGTGAGCCTTTGTTCTCTGGTAGCATCTTGCTGCAATTATTAATTAGTTCCTTCTATTTCGATTATCCAGAATAGCCTTAGTTATTGTCATTTTTCAATTCTAGTTCACCTGTCTTTTAATTTGAGTTGTATGTTATCCATTTAATACATTTAGGTGACACTGCTGAACTGTGTATGTGCAGCTGTAGTCAGGGTGGTGAAAAATTATTCTGCCAATTGCTTACTTACAATGTCAATTTTCTTCACAACCTCACCAATTTCCTTGCCTGAATGAGCATTAATCTGGAAGGACTTGAGACTCTGGCAATTAGATTGGGCTATCTTGGAGGTATATGAGGATTTGAAACTGCAAATATTTCTGAAACACCCTCCACTTTGTACTCTTTACTTCAGGAGGGAATCCCGTTTCTTACCCAAAGAAACTTTTTTCCTTGAAGGAGATATTTAATGATTTCTGAATGCCTAATGCTTATTATGTTCAGCTCATTATACATGATCCACTCTCAAGATATCTGGGGTGAAGAATGATGATTCACAGAAGGGAAGAGAAGGCTTGCATAAAGAAAGAATTTCAGATATTTGCTAAAATGTATCCCTTAAATCTGGAAAATATGAATATTTCGCTATTGATGTTCCAAGGAAGATACACACGTAATAAAGAATAAACACATGAGAGAAAGTCTATATTCAGTTTACTACTGCCCAGGGTCAATTAGGTTTTAAAGGTTGCTGTACTGTGTGATGCAAATCCACATGCAGCCTTGCCCAGTAGAAATGCTGACGTCATGTTGATGTAATGTTGAGGATAGAAATCAAATACTGTGGGAAAGGACAATGGTGGGTTAGGTCTTAATCTTAAATGAAATGGAAAATTTATCTGATAAATGAAACTTAACAAATGAATAGATCTACAGTCAGTAAACTAAATAGAAAATTTAAAAACAATCTCTGGGTTGAACATCTACCTAGTCCCTCTAGCCCTGCCCCAGCCCTCTAAAAGAAAGAGGTCCAGAGACTTTTCAGTAATAGTTGATAATTTTCAGGAACGTTCAAGAAAAGATAATTCCTACATTTTACAAGACTTCCCAGAAAATGTACATTTTGGGGGGAAATGACTTGCAAATCATATTTAGGAACATAGATTAAAAAGTCCTAAGTGGAATTACAGCAAAAGTAGAGTCCTTTTTTTAAAGTCATGACATTATTAAGTGTAGTAGTGGTGAACCCAGTATCCCTTCATTACCAACAGAATCACTGTATTTTAATGGCTATGTGCCCAGCTAAAAAGCTACATTTCTCCATTTTCTTTGTAGCTAAGTGTGATCATGCTACTAAGTTCTGAGTAATGAAATGGAAATAGAAGTTGCTGAGACAGTCTAATGGGAAGGTTCTTCGAAAAGAAAACAAAGAACTAGGAAAGCCCCCTCGTGTCCTTTAATCTTACCTCTTTTTAATATGCAGCACATGTGATGGTTGGAGATTCAGCAGCCATCTTAGAACTTGAGTTCATCCTGAGAGGAAGCCATCTGCTGGGGTGCAGTGGAGACATAAGAGTGACTCGATGGAGCTACTGTATCAGCCATGGACCACCGGCACCTGGGTGTCTTTACATAAGAGAAGTGAACTGTCTTGTTAAAGACACCGTTTCTTTTTTGGGTGGAAGGAGAGTTGGTTCTGTAATATGCAGCTGAATCTGATCCTAATTGAAACACATTAGGATGTTTGGAAGATTTAATATTAGAAAATCTTCTAAAGAAATTAATCAGACTACTAGAGAAAAGAAAAACCATGTGATTATATCAATATATGTAGATAAGTCATTTGATGGAATTTAATACCATAGATGAATTAAAAATATTAAATCAAGAATAGAAATTAACTCCTTTACGTTTGCAAGAAGTATGTTTCAGAAACTGACGTGTCATACTTAATGGTACAACAGTAGATATATATATGTTTAAATTGAGAAAACTACAAGAATGCTCATTACTTTTATTGAACAACGTAATGGCAGTTCTAGCCAGTGTATGAAAAAAAATTTTTAAGGAATTGAGGGTGAGTGCAGAAAAAAAAATTCCATTGTATGGAGATGTGATTGTCTATTTAGGAAAATCTAAATAAACTACAGGCAAATATTTAGAATTATGAATAGAGTAGGAAGTGTACTAGATATATCCAGTTTTTAACAATCAGTTGTGTTATTCTGCTTCTGGTTTAACAAACTGCTGGATAAGCTACAAAATCATAGAAAACAGAAGATAAACTCAAATGAACGAAACACTGGAAAGTAAGGAATACTTTATATATAAGAAAAGAAAGTTGCTGCTCTCGTCCTTGGTGAAACTGCAGACAGAGAAGAGGTCCCACAGAGAGGAAGGGGAACCAAGGTGAGCTAAACAGCAATTGTCTGTGGATAGAGCCCCCCAGCACAGGAGTTTCCAGCCTGCTCTCCCATAGGTCATCATGGGACCCTTAGAGATAGTATGACAAGTGTGATGCTGGCAGAGAAAGCTTAAAAAACAAAGATCCTGCTGGTTTGTCCAGGTCCTCTCCTATGTGGGAGGCAGGTACTATCTGAAGGCAGGAAGGTGGACAGGGCAACAGCTGCGATTCTGAGGGCGGAATCGATCCTGCCCTCAGAATATCTGAAGGCAGTTGTAAACTAACTAAACCAAAAGCTGCAACAAAAGGCAGAGCAGCTGGAATACAGGTCAGATTGATTCAGACAGACCCTATCTCCCAATCTAACATCTGAGGTTAGAAAATATGTACCCTTTTTTGAAGTAAATGTATATTGAGAGTAAAGAAAATTATCAGAAATAGAGGAATATTATACAGTGATAAAAGCATCATTTCACCAAAAAGACAATCATAAGTGTGCATGCACTTAACAACGAAGCTTCAAAATCATACAAAGACTGAGAGCTGGAAGGAGAAATATACTGCACTGTTTTAGTTGACACTTCTTATTTCTTGGTAACACAACTTGGAGAGCAAAATTCAGCAAGGTATGCCATCATCAACAAACTGGATCTAGTAGATATTTCTAGAACATCCAACAGTGGAATACACATTCTTTTCAATTGCACATGAAGCATTCACCAATATAGGTCATGTCCTGGGTCATAAATTTTTAAAAAATAATTGAAAGCATACAAAATGTCTTCAGACTATAATGCACTTTAACAGGAAACCAACAGCAAAAGAACAGGAAATCTCCGAACACTTGAAAATTAAGCAACACAATTCCAAGTAATCCATGGTTCAGAAAAATTTCAAGAAAAAAAAATGGAAAATATTTTTAGCTGAACAAAAAATACAATATATCAAAATTTTTGAAATGCAGAAAAAGCAAATTAGAGGGAAATTTGTAGCATTAAATGCTCACTGTAGAAAAGAATAAAGGTCTCACATCAATAATCTAAACTTCTACCTTAAGAAACTAGAAAAAATAAGGCCAAAGTAAATAGGAATGAAATAATAAGGATAAGATCACAAACTAATGAAAGAAAAAACAGTAGAAGGGAATATTACAAACAATTTGGATTATAATGCACTTCTATTCACGGTACC